CTAGCTTTGCTCCTGGCTTTGGGATATCTCAAGCAAGGGGCCGGTCTGTAACTCCTCACCTAGGGCCCATTGGATGTGCAAGATGCCCTCAACCAGGTGACCCGAGCATGGCACACAGCCCCCTCAGACACACTCCCGCAGCCTTCTTCCTCATGGGCAGCAATGCTATGACATAGGAATGTGTTTTCAAGGCTCGGAATATGCAGGGAGACACATGGCCTTGACTCTGGAATTCAGGCCCTCGGAGAAGGCCTGCAGGTCTGACGTCTGGGAAGCAAAAGACTTGCTGTAAATAGAGGCCTGAAAACACACTCTGTGGATGCCTTTCCTTCCTCTAAAGAAGACAGCTATTCCAGTCTCCTGCATGCTGAGTGTCACACAACTGGAATGCACTTGCTTGGAGGTCATGATTAGTGGCAATGGCCCCTGAGGCCCTGTGCCAGGTAGGGCTCCCACACTCACAGGGAAATCAAAGCAACTTCCAAATGAGTCAGCTCTTTGAGTCAAGTGGCCAAAGTATTGGAGTTTCAGGTTCAATATTAGCCTTTCCAATGTATATTCAGATCTGATTTCCTTTAGGATGGAGTGGTTGGGTTTCCTCGTAGTCTAAGCGACCTTCAAGCATCTTCTTCAACTCCACAGTTCAAAAGCATCAAATCTTCAGCTGTCAACTTTCTTTATAGTCCATCTTTCACATCCATACATGATATATGGAAAAACCATAGCCTTGACTAGACGGATCTTTGTTGGCAAAGCAACGTCTCAGCTTTTTAATATGCTGTCTAGTTTGGTCATCACTTTCCTTCCAAGTCATAAGCGTCTTTTAATTTCATGGCTGCAGTCACCATCTGCAGTGATTTCCGAGGCCCGAAAATAAAGTCTGCCACGGTTTCCACTGTTTTCCCATCTATTTGCCATGAAGTGATGAGACTGGATACAATGATCTTAATTTTCTGAATGCTGAGCTTTAAGCTAACTTTTTCACTCTCCTCTTTCACTTTCTTTTTTTTTTTTTTTTCATTTATTTTTATTAGTTGGAGGCTAATTACTTTAAAACATTGCAGTGGTTTTTGTCATACATTGAAATGAATTAGCCATGGGTTTACATGTATTCCCCATCCCGGTCCCCCCTCCCACCTCCCTCTCCACCCGATCCCTCTGGGTCTTCCCAGTGCACCAGGCCCGAGCACTTGTCTCATGCATCCAACCTGGGCTGGTGATCTGTTTCACCCTAGATATACATGTTTCAATGCTGTTCTCTTGAAACATCCCACCCTTGCCTTCTCCCACAGAGTCCACAAGTCTGTTCTATACATCTGAGTCTTTTTTTTTTTTTTTTTTTGCATATAGGGTTATCATTACCATCTTTCTAAATTCCATATATATGTGTTAGTATACTGTAATGGTCTTTATCTTTCTGGCTTACTTCACTCTGTATAATGGGCTCCAGTTTCATCCATCTCATTAGAACTGATTCAAATGAATTCTTTTTAATGGCTGAGTAATATTCCATGGTGTATATGTACCACAGCTTCCTCATCCACTCGTCTGCTGATGGGCATCTAGGTTGTTTCTATGTCCTGCCTATTATAAACAGTGCTGCGATGAACATTGGGGTGCACGTGTCTCTTTCAGATCTGGTTTCCTCAGTGTGTATGCCTAGAAGTGGTATTGCTGGGTCATATGGCAGTTCTATTTCCAGCTTTTTAAGAAATCTCCACACTGTTTTCCATAGTGGCTGTACTAGTTTGCATTCCCACCAACAGTGTAAGAGGGCTCCCTTTCCTCCACACTGTCTCCAGCATTTATTGCTTGTAGACTTTTGGATAGCAGCCATCCTGACTGGCGTGTAATGGTACCTCATTGTGGTTTTGATTTGCATTTCTCTAATAATGAGTGATGTTGAGCATTTTTTCATGTGTTTTTTTGCCATCCGTATGTCTTCCTTGGAGAAATGTCTGTTTAGTTCTTTGGCCCATTTTTTGATTGGCTCATTTATTTTTCTGGAATTGAGCTGCAGGAGTTGCTTGTATATTTTTGAGATTAATCCTTTGTCTGTTGCTTCATTTGCTATTATTTTCTCCCAATCTGAGGGCTGTCTTTTCACCTTGCTTATAGTTTCCTTTGTTGTGCAAAAGCTTTTAAGTTTCATCATCAAGAGGCTCTTTAGTTCTTCACTTTCTGCCATAAGGGTGGTGTCTTCTGCATATCTGAGGTTATGGATATTTCTCCCTGCAATCTTGATTCCAGCTTGTGCTTCATCCAGCCCAGCTTTTCTCATTATGTACTCTGCATATAAGTTAAATGAGCCGGGTGCCAATATAGAGCCTTGACATATTCCTTTTCCTATTTGGAACCAGTCTGTTGTTCCAGGTCCAGTTATAACTGTTTCTTCCTGACCTGCATACAGTTTTCTCAAGAGGCAGTTCAGGTGATCTGGTATTCCCATCTCTTTCAGAATTTTCCCCAGTTTATTGTGATACATGCAGTCAAAGCCTTTGGCATAGTCAATAAAGCAGAAATAAGTGTTTTTCTGGAACTCTCTTGCTTTTTCTATGATCCAACAGATGTTGGCAATTTGATCTCTGGTTCCTCTGCCTTTGCTAAATTCATCTTGCACATTTGGAAGTTCTCTCCTGGAAGTGGGCATGGGGGCACGGTGCACCATAAGCTCGCCAGGGGCAGAGAGCACCCAGGAGCACGTCAGAGGCGGGGTACACTTGGGCAGCACATCGTGGGTGGGGGGGTCCCAGCTTTGCTCTCAGGGGTTGCCATTGTGGCTGGTAACACCCGTTTCGTCGGCTCCTGGGTCCCCATCAATGGGCATCCAGTGATCAGAGCGGAGGGGTGCAGACCACAGGTAAGGGAACTGAGGCTCAGTGGCGTAGGGTGGAGCAGGGAATCACGTATTCCACCCTCTCTGTTGGCACAGTCTCGGAACCCCCTAATCTGGCGGTCGTAGAAAGCCCTCACCATTGGGATCAAGGCCTTTACCACTTTACCGCTTCGCATAAACCTCAGACCCACACGGTTTTCCCAGGCAGCCTAGTGCCTGCTGGAAGTCCAAAGGATTTATCCTGCCTGGTGATTTCACCTGCTGAGACTCCACAACACTTAGTCTGGCTGGCTGGCCCAGCCCTGCTTCCAGCACTTTGCAGGTCAGTGGGCCCTTGACCACCTGCTGGGATGGGAAAGGGAAGGGTCCACAAATTGCACCCTAGAAACTTGGTAGGGTGCATGGATTTAAAAACCTGGTGGCCACCCAGGCAGGAAAGAAGGGGGGGGCACCTTGCTGCCCTTCATGGTGGAATCTGTGGCTGTCCTGCTGAGAGGGGGCCTTTCCATGGGGACCCCGTGTAATGTTTGGTGTTTTGGAACTGAATAATTAGAATGTGTAAAAATTTTAAATTAGGTGGTGTTTTAATTTAAAAAAAAAAAAAAAAAAAGCTCCAAGTTTTTTGCAAATTGAGGTCTAAAAATTGAAGGCCTATTTTTCTCCCACTGTGGCATTCTATGAAGAAATGTGCATTTTGTTAAGAAAAGAGTCAGAAAAGTGAGGGAAACAGAAAATCCAGAGGTTCCCCTATAGTTTGGCAAAGGCCTTATGAGGTCACTTTTAAATGCTGCTGGCTGTCGGCAGGCAGTCTCTTCCCATGGCTGATGGGCAAAGAGCTCTGCAGGCTTGTCCTTTGCATAGATGTTCTTCTTTGTGGAAATCCAGCTCGGAACTATCTTCTGATGTTTAAGAATTTCCAAGACTAGACCCCTAGGCAAATCCTGCAGGGCCAAGGGCTCCTTCCTTCATTGTATTTATCTATTTGACTGAAAACCAGCAATGACATCTTTTTCTTTGAATCTGGTCTATCATCCAGGCCTTGGAGTAATATTTCCCCTCCCCCACAATAGGCTTGGGTTCCAGGGATGAATTATCATCAGTTGTCCATGATTTTGCAGATGAGGAAACTGAGAGCCAGAGATGGTGGGGGAGTGTCCAGGGGAGAATGGGATACCCTTCCAGGAACCCTGGCTCCTGGGTTTTTAATGAGCTTCCTACCCAGCCTGGTCATTAAGTGGCAAGTGTTGACATTGAGAATAAACTATTGATGGAAATGTAAAAGGCTTTTTTAAAGAATGTGCCTACCAGCTGTGCATCTTATGGAGTATTTTCATTGTATTCCCCAACCCTTGGAAAGTGCCACATGAATGCTCCTGTGGCTTTATGCACAAAAACTGATCAATCATCATAGGCATGTGAATACGTAATACATTCGAGCTGAAAAGGGTTTCTGAAAGGAAGGGACGCTTAATCAATTTTATGACCTTCTAATCTCAGCCATTTGGTGTTTTTCAATTTCCAAATGTGAAGGAAAAAATATGCATATTTTTATCATCTTCATTAAAATGATCATCTCTGTTTTATGGTGCCTCTGTATTGGAGGCACCATACAAAGATTCTGGTTTTCCTAAGGGAAAATGAGGTCAATGCGGTGCTTTTCAAAAAGACAAAGCAATGAATATGTGACAACTGATGCCCCTAAAGGTCAAGGAGGTGAGGACTGGCTGGTGCTCATCCCTAATCAAGACTGAAATGAATTAAAGATAGGTTAAGCTAAACGTGCCAAGATTTTTAAAGGCCATGTGGTCATGAGAGGTTGATGCAAGGGCTATAGTCCAACTTCCCAAGTTTCTATCCTTTTCACTGGATTTCCTTTTCACTCTTGTTTATCTGACCTTCATGTGGCTGAGCACCCAGCCCCATCAGGTCCGCTCCAGATCTCAGAGATGCCTGCTGCACAGACAGCTCAGTCTGTAAGATGACATGGAAAAGCCATCATCCACGGACACGGAAGCACTCTGTCAACTGGGGGAGAGTGTTTCAGTGAAAAAAGTACAGGCTTCAAGTCAAAGTCAGACCTCGGCCCTGCTGCTCTTTAATTTTGTGGTCTTAGGGAAATCGGCTGAATCTCAGATTCTTCATCTGTAAAATAGGAAAACAGCTTCTACATGTGCTTGTTGTGAGGTGAGGAGTAAAGAAATTTCTTGCTCAGCAAACTGATAACGAAGGTGCCCAGCAGATAATGGTGCTCCTTGACAAATATGGAGTACCGCGCCAGAATCTGCAGCGTCAGTTTCCACAGACAGTGCGTCAGCAGTGGCAAGAACATCTTGTCAGACCAGCACCTCTGAAGGCTGCTCCACGTCCTATGAGAAGCCAAAAGGCAATACGAGCTACCAGCTAGAGGTAAAAATGCACAGTTAAGAAGCTGCAGCAGAAGGCTAACAGCTAAAATCTTCAACAGACAAGCCAAGAGTGAAACCAATGACATTCTGAAGACTCCTATGAGGTCAGCAAAGCTTTAGGGAGCGGGCATGGACAGCCAAGAGGCTGTGCGTGGACATATTGCTCCATCTCTCCTGTCACGTTGTTTGCTGATTTTACACAACTCCTTCTCCCAGGTATTTGATACATACTATACATATATAACAGTCAGAAATAATCAGTTAACAGGTACTTTATAATAAAGCAACAAATGCGAATTGGAGCGGCAGTCACTTGCAAGGGTTTAATCTTTGGTTTTGAATTTGTTCTGTCTTCTCTTCCACTCCTGAATATGCTATTTAAATATAGGAAGTCAATTACACATGGCTACTTTTGCAAAGACAGCTGAAAATGAACTTTTGAGGCTGAAAGAGTGCAGTTTTAGGTGGAACTTGGCCGCACAAATGGGAGCACAGTGGAGTGGAGCTTTGTGGCTACAGGAACAGCCACCTAGGTGAGCAGTCATCAGGGACCCCTAACGCATGACTAGATGCAAACACGTCTGGAAAGCGTAGGCTGACCCCAGTCACCCACCCACCCAGTCCCAGGACTGGGCCAAGGGCTCTCTCTGGAGGCCCGAGGCAGCAGTCCGAGCTGAGAGTCATCCTCTGGAGGGAAGGGTCATTCTGATCCTATACCTCAGCTTGAGAGGGAAGTGGAGGGTAGCCACAAGGCTACAAAAAAAGGCTGTCACTTAAGCACAGCAGGGGTTATATCCCCTTGACAAATTATATTCAGAAGCGAAAATGTGGTCTCCTTCCCGTGTTCTTAAAGTATCCTTTACATCGTCTCTATACAGCCAAAAGCTCTAGAAACCTTTTTTTAAAAAAGAACTTAAACTGTATCTTCAGGGTCTAACTTACTTTCCCGGTGGCTCCGACAGTAAATCATCTGCATACAAAGCAGGAGACCTGGGTTTGATCTCTGGATCAGGAATGGCTACCCACTCCAGTAATCTTGCTTGGAGAATTTCATGGACAGAGGAGCCTGGTAGGCTACAATCCATGGGGTTGCAAAGAGTTTGACACGACTGAGCAAGTAACTCTACTGGAAGACAGCAAAAGGTCAAAGTGCTCCCAGGGCACTAAGGCCACCAAGAAGACTTGGTGAATGGAATTAACCCACTTAACGATGGCCTGTGTCACTCTGAGAATGTTACTTGGTGCATCTTCCAGGACATCTGTAAGTGCTGCTTCTAAAGATTCTGCTATTTCTCTAAATCTGAGAGAAAAACAAGAGTGTAAACGGCTGTTTTCTCTGCTTCAGGTGCCTGTCCCCCCAACCTCCCCCTCCCCAGGCAATAGGACCATTCTCCTGCTTGCTCATAGGGTCAGTGCCTCAGAGCTGCCCCAGCAGCCCTGATGCCTGGCCTCCAGACTTTTTTTCTTACTGAGCAGGAAATAAACTTATTTGAATTACTTGACAAGGAAGCCATTTCTGGCAAGTCCCACCACCTATAATCAGGTAATCACTTCAGGGCCATAGGACTGGTTTTTCCAGTCCTCTTACCTCCACACTATCAGAAGAAAGCAAATGTCCCTCAAACTAAGAAATGGAGAAGCTATATTCTGTATCTTTGTTTGCAGCTTGAGACATATCACTGAAAATAGGCAGTTAAACCAGAACAAGTCTCTGCCTGGCGCTCAGCACATGTCTGCTGCCTGTCTCTCGTGCTGCTACTGGTAACTGCATGCTGACCCTGAGGCTCAGGATCTGCTTTCTGGATGGGTTTTCTATGTTCTCTGCTGGGCCATTTGTCATTTCATACCATCTTCTCACAGACTTCTTTTTTAATACCTGATGTGGACACATTGTTATGGCTGTGAAATGAAACTGTGAGTGTATTCATTTCCTTAATTAGCTGCCTATGTAGCATCCTCCTTCCCACCTATATAACCCTTCCATGTTCATACCTTCTTTACCATACATTCTTCTGTCACCCACTAGTTCCCTTGCCACTGATAAATCCTGACACATACTTAACATCAATTTACCTAATCCATAATCTTGTTTTTTTGGATAGAACTTATATGCTTTTAAAAAGCAGTTCAGAGACTGATCTTCAGGAAACTGGAGAGTAAATACAGCAGCACTTCATAGAAAGAGCAGTAGCCCTGCCCTCAAAGGCATGAGTGGCTGAGAGCAGAGGACTCTGGCCCACCCTGCCTGCTGGAGCTGGCCGCTCCCCACAGCTTCCCTGTGCCACACACAGGAAAGAACTCAGCAACTGCCCCGTGAAGCCTGCGAGAGGCGAGTCTCTCCAAGCAGCAAGGAGAGGCCCAGAGGGAACAAGTGGCAGAAGAGAAGTGGAGGAAGAGAAGGGAGCACTGGAGAACCGCAAAGAAGGCAGTGCTCCTGAGCACACTGGGGAGGAGAGGGCAGGGGCTGCCCTGCAGTGAAGAGGGCAGACCAGCTCCTGCATTCGCCTCAGACCCCGATTCCCACCTTTTGCCCACATCTGTTAACATACGAAACACAGGAAGGAGGATTCAGCACAGAAAAGGCCTGACACTACACAGCATTGTTCAGAACACCGAGAACCAGAAGCCACCTTCACAGCCCCAAGGAAGGGAAGGTTTCCGTAACATGCGGCACAGTTCCTACTGAATGCAGCGTGAAGAGAGGTCAGCTGGAAGTTCTGCGGCCATCAGAGGAACAGGTATAACTCAGTGTAAGTAATGACACAGGATAAAACTGTATGTATGCCACAACAATCTGAAAGCCATTCAAAGGAGAAAGTGCAAGACACAAATGCAGCAGGCCCCTAACATTAATGCCTTTTAAACAGACGTGCAGATGACGTGTGACCAGGTGTGAGATCCCTAAGACTAAAACTGTCTATGTCGTGTGACCCAGCTGTCCCCTCTCCCTACCCTCCAGGAGTCCAGCACCAGCCCCTCGAGTAGCTTTGCTGGCCAGTAACTTCCAGGATTGAGGTGTTAGGTTTACTTCTTCTTAGAAAATAAACAAAGTGAGATGTTACTTTGGTGAAATTTGAAAAGTTATGCTGTAGTTTCCACACATATACGGGATGCCATTCTACTCTTGATAGAGGCTTTGTAAGAAAGGAAACCCCAAATGCAAACACTCCTAAACTCTTCCATTTGGGTATGGGGATGATCTGGAGACACACACCCCCTCCCCCACACACGGCTCTACTGACGCATGGACACAACTTGGGGAGGGTGGAGGGGAAGGAAGGCGCATCGGTGCCACACAGACTCCACGCTGTAAAGCAGCTACACCATGCTAAGCATGTGCTGAATGGAGCAGAGAACACACATGTGACCGTCCTGGAAGCATACACCATTCTAGAAAGAGTTCAATTAAAAAAGACATACCACTGCCTCTAGCATTTAAGGCGTTAACACCCAGCTTCCAGGCAGCCGCTGATTTACTACCATTTGAGACTGCTGGGGGCCCATGTATATTGAATCTCTTTCTATGAAAACAAATGCCTAACTCTACTTTCCAAAACTCCTGGAAGAACAAAGGAAGCGTTGACACAATAGGGTATGTTGACACAATAGTGTACCAGAGACAGAAGGGGTGCCTGTGTGCTCACAGAATGGTGGTGGTGGGAGGGGTGCCTTTTTTCCTGAAGATGATGGGGATGTCAGCACAGAGTCAGACCCAGGACTATCTGATTGTTACTGAGAGTGCAATATTAGTACCAATATTCCTTCCTAGAAATTTGCCGAAACATCACCACCCTACTGGCGTTTAAGCTTACTTTAAATGACCCTGAAGTGAATCAGATAGCAATTCAGCTTTGACACCAGCCATGTTTGCAGAACATTCTGTTATCCCAGAGAATAAATAACCCAACCACTGACAAAAATCAACAGAATGGTGTTCTATAAAGTATTGCTTAAATTTCTTTTTAAGTGGAAGAGCAAATGCACTGAAAACAGGCTCCACACGTCATAACTCAAACATAACTTTTTTAATTTCATCAATTTTAAATAAAACTATTTACAAGGAAAAGTTAAGCAATTCCTTTGAATGCTCATGGCTAAACTCTGGTGAAGATTAAAAACGTCTTTCATGGGACTGGCTGAGTTTCGCATAGCTGAAGACTCAATTACCAGCTTTGAGAGAACCTATAATGAGACGCGAACGGACTGAAGCCAGGCTGTGCTCAGGCTGTGCTACTCAGCAGGGCCCAGAGCTCCAGAAGGCAGAATGGCACGGCAGTGCAAGGTTGCTAAGTGCGGGGGTCTGGGGAAATGACTAGATAAGAGGCGTCTGGAGGCAGTAAACAGGAGTATGGGCTGTGATGGTTATTAGATATCTAAAGCAATCTAAGCCAAAACGGAGACTACAGGAGACACGGAAAGTTTAAATATTATTTCTCTACTGCACTCTTACACTATAAAATGATACTTCACCATTTTAAATGTTTCTCACAAACCAAAAGGGCTTCTTGCCCTGGCTACATCTTGATCATCATGTAACGATTACATCCCATGCAGTCCATGAGTATCTCAGACAAATAAATCCTTAATTTCTCACCTACATGATAATATAACCTTGAAAAATTAAGTATAAAGCTCAGTATTGTACGTAAAAGAGCACCACACTAACAGTCTGACAGCTTTGATTTCATCATCAAATGATTATATACATTCTCAATCATGGCAAGTAATTACAAATCAAGGGATTTAATATATTTCCCTCTCTGTAATTATTCCTCAGTACTCCAGCAAAGGACTGCATCATAATTAATGAAAGCATCCAGCAATTTAAACAAAAAGCTTCCAAGTCGTTAAAAACCATTCTAACTAAAATGCTCTAGTTAACACCATTCTATGGAGGAACTTACTGTGATCTCATTCAAGAGAATCTGCAAAAATGGCTATATTATCGTCTCTTTTTCTAGGGGAACATACATTGTTAAGAATTTATCCTAAATTGTCCCCAAATTGTCTACAGGACCACTTACTGACATTGGTGATATCATTATCCTATCTGGAAGGAAAGTGTCACCATTTTCCAGAATACTCACCAAGATTACAAAGGAAGCCAAAATAATAAGTACAATTCTTATAAATTCTTATAAACTACAAAGAATATTTCAAGAAAGAAATATGAAACTTTCAAGAAAGAAATATTTCAAGAAATATTTCAAGAAAGAAACTTTTCCTGATTCCCTCTGAGGATAAAAATGTCACAGAGAGCAAAACTACAGATGGAGCATAGGCCTGCTATTTGAAGCAAGTGAGGGAAGAGGAAAATGGAGAGGAGGAGCTGCCAGGTGAGCAGCTCTCCGTCTCTTCGTGGTGAATGAAGGCATAGCGCCTGGGAATGAAGCTGGGCCTGGTCTAGCTCCCCTGGAGTCCAGCGTTCTCAGCTTGCTAATGACAAGAGAGTAAAACTTAATCCTTTTGTCATACAGGCCAGAACTTTGGCGATCATGATACTTCTTGTGCGTTTCTGCTCCAAATTGTTCCCCAAGGAATAATATGATGATCTTCAAGAAGGGGCTGTGAGATGGGAGTTCAGTCCATCTGAACTGGTGTTCAAGTCCTATTTCAGAAGGGTGGAGGTGACGGGAATAAATTACTGACCTTATTTGAAAATAAACAGGCAAGTTCCACTTATTATTGAACCCGTGATAGGCAGGATGTGCTCTTAAATCTTTTTACATTGGCCTGTGATCCACACTGCTGTTCAGATGTTCTTACAAAATCCATACTTATGGTATACTTCTAAAATAAGAACAAACAGGTGGAATTTTCATTTTAAGGAAACTAAACAGAATCGGGATCATATACTGAAAAATGGAAATCAAGATAAAGATCAACACAGAGAATCACAGGTTTAAGATCTCATTAGGCCCTTACAGGATCTTCCTCTGAAGATCCCCACACTGAGTAATGCCCAAAGTGGTTCTATGACTTGCTCAAGGTCTTAGGTGGCAAGCCCATCAAGAGACCCAGGTATTCTAAGTCCAGTGGTCTTTAAGTGACAGCTCTCACTCATCTTCTAGGGCACCCCTAACTGTCCACTGGAACCATGAGAGATCACAGATTAAGTGGTATAATTTTCACTGCCTTTCGAGAAGAAAGCCCTTTAACAAGGGCTCTAAATCCCCAGGCTCTAGGGAGAACACTGCAGGATTTCCCATGTACTTCTCACTTAAGAGAAGCTCTATTCTGGGTCACCAAACCAATCACCTAAATACGATGTCTGTGATTACATGGGAATTGTAGTACAGT